TGATGTGAAAGATGCAGATGAAACCGCCAAGGGAAAACTCCGGACTGGTTTGATCTGCTGAAGGAAAAATAATAAATATGAGTAAAAGATGAAAAGGAAAAGAAAGGAAAATAAATAAAGGTTGAACGGGTGTTCCCCTTACACACGTGTCTCAAAGTGAGGACAGGAGAACGACTGCATTGTTACCTGAACCATCCCTGTTAAGAAGAAAGGGGACGAATGGACCGTCGAGACTCTGCTATTAGTTGACCATTCTACTACATACATCGCAGGACTTCTTCATGTATCATTCCCATTTCGACTCAATCCGACTGCACTTCCACGAAACCTTTGAACCCGACTCTTCACCACTTTCTCGAACCACGATTCGTCCTCAAGTTTTGCGAAGTAGTCCAACCTCGGGGAGGGTGAGCAGTAGGATGTAGAAGATGATGGAATCAACGAAGCACGGAAAAGAATACTTCAGCGGTCGTTTGTGAGTGGATACTGGCACTGGTACGGTGGGACTTGGCGTTGGCGCTGGGTGGTGTGGAACGCAAGCTCTATTTTGTTTCCGTGGTCGATAGTATGCAAGAGGCGTGATTTCATTATGGTCTGTACCAAGTGGGTAAAAAGAAAATTACAATGGAAATTAGAGCAGAAATTGTTCCCAGCAGGAGTCGAGCCTGCGGCTTCTCGGAGTATTGATCAATGGAACACGTACCACAACGAGATGATTTAACCACTAATCGATAGGAACAATAACTCTTTGTAACACCTTGATCCTTTACCAGCGGGGGTGAGGACGGTTAATTTGATCGCCCAAAAACTCGAATATGAACATCATATCGTCATCCGAAGGCTCGACACCCTAAGAGGGGGGTATACCATAATGTCATGACCTGACCATAATTTCCTAAATCTCCTTCGAACTTCCGCACATCAACTCATCATCAACGGATCACCGGCAACACTCCACATCAAGACCACTAAACCCGAAATCCAAACTCTTAAAACTCTCGAAACTCTTGGTATCAATGGCCCGACCCTCGGATCACTGGCACAACCACCTCAAACACCTCATTCATCATCTCCCCTCGAGATCCCATCTTTCCCCCTCGTGATCACTCCACAACACAGCCCTACTTCACTAACCGACATCTTTCATCATAATATATGCTAATTATAGTACAATTGAGGACAACCGAATTTCAAATAACCATCTCGAAACAAGTTCAACAACCTCAAGGCATCGGACCTTGATGCCTCGAGGACCTTCGAGATCCCGAACACATCCGAAGGTTTCCTCAAGTACCTACCGTAGTCAGTATATAAACCCCTCATATCGCAACTTGGGACCTCAGTTGCGATATTAACCTCAGTTCTCTTGTCTACTCTCTGCTTATCATCTCATTTCTTACGGCTTGCGCGTTGTACCAATCTATCTATTATCTTTGCCAACTTCGACCACGTTCCGAAGGCTCCTAAGACGTTTACTCAACGTTCTTAGGGTTCTGCTCAACGTCTTGGACGACTACCACTTCGACTTTGACGTGTTTTCAATCTTTGAACCCTGTTCAAAGCTTGCTAACAGACTCTCTAGTCACAACCAGTACCTTCAAAGCCACTTCGAAGTTACCTCAAGTATATCGAAGCCATCACATGACCGCCTAGGTGTCCGACAAACGAGCTTCAGGCCTATACGTCCATACGTGAGTCCTGACAGTAAGTCATTCAATACCCTTCTGAGTTCAGCAGGTTCTTACGCTTTCTGCTTTCTTTTCATAGATACTTCATGACCTGCAGTATCGGCCGTCAAGCGTCCAAGGCAATATGTCACAGGAGGTGGTACCGGTGCTGGTGCCCTGATACTCTCCCGGCTCAAGTTATTACATTTGGCTTACTACTTACGGTCATTCTCTATATCTACTATCATTGGGTGCAGCATACCATAATCTCATTTTACTTTCCTACAATGGTACAAGAAATCAATCACAAAGTTTTGAATGGCCATGCTTACTAACGAAAAGATCAAAAGTGAAAATCCGAGAATTGGCCTTGCGGGTCGTGACCACCATAGTCGTTGGCAAGCGAGGGTTATGAGGGATAGGGCTATTGTTTGAGACATCCTTGAGTTTTGTGAGTAAAGACTAAGTACCTTCTGTTTGATTGTACTCACACATTTCTGAATCAAAATCTACTAGCTGGTGGAAGATTGATTACTCTTGAACTCGATAGCCATAATTTGTGGGACCGGGAACAAGAGAAAGTAAATTC